GTTGCTGGTGTTCCTGATCTTGGTTCCACTGGGCGTGGCTCTGATATGCAAGTTGGGACTTATGTAGAAAAGTTATTTGCCTCAGAGTTGTCTGGAAATGTTATTGATTTATGCCCAGTTGGTGCTTTGACGAGCAAACAATATAGGTTAATTTAGATTTTGAATATTTTCGATTAATTAAATCTTTTGTAATTAACTTGACACATATTTAAAAATTTCCTATGCGAAAAATACTTGTTTATTTCTATCAAAATCCTTCGACTTTAATCAAAATTTTTGACTTTTCCATGTTAAGTTTTATTGCCCGTCCATGGGAGACACGCAAAACTGAAAGTATAGATGTTATGGATGCTCTTGGATCTAATGTAGTTGTTTCTCATCGTACCGGTGAAGTTCTACGAATAATACCGCGAATGAATGATGTTTATTATTTAATTTTTTTCTAAACTTTTTTGTTTTTAAGGAAATAAACGAGGAATGGCTGTCAGATAAGAGTCGTTTTATTTGTGATGGATTAAAATTGCAAAGATTGCTGCAACCGATGATTAAAAATGACCAAGGAATTTTAATGTAAAATTTTAAAAATATTTTAAAATATTGAAAAAATGTTTTAGACCTTGTAATTGGGAAGAAGCACTTTTTATGAGTGCCCAAAAACTTCGTCAAACTCCACCTAGTGCCATGGCTTGTCTTGCTGGTTCTTTAGTTGATACAGGTAGACTAGAAATTTTAATATATTTCTTTCGCGATATCAATAATTGACAATTTCTCTTCATTGTTTTATTTTTGTTCAATTTTGTTTTTTCAGAAGGATTGTTAGCGCTAAAAGATTTGTTAAATCGTTTTGACAGTGAAAATATTTTTAGTGAAGGTGAATTACCAAATTCGTGTGGAGGAATTGATTTGAGGTTTTCTTTTAACTCTCTCGCTTATTTTTTCATTTTAAGATCAAATTATCTTTTCAACGACAAAATTACTTCAATAGAAAATTGTGATTTGCTTCTTCTTGTTGGTACAAATCCTCGTTATGAAGCTCCAGTTTTAAATGCTAGAATTCGCAAAGCGTTTAGTTTTTGTTTATTTTTTTGTTTTAAATTTTTATTTTTAAAGTTTTATCTATTCTGATATGGAAATTGGAGTAATTGGAAGCAATGTTGATTTAACTTATGAATATCATTATTTGGGGTCAAATTCTTCTATTTTGGATGATTTAATTGATGGAAAAAATGCGTTTTCTAAAGTTTCTCTTTATTTTCATAAAAACCAAATAGGAGTTAACATTAAGCAAAATAATTATTTATTTTTCTGGTTAAATTTTGAGAATTACTATTTTTAACCTCACAGAAATCAACTAATTTAAAATTATTATTAGAAATTGCTGGCAGCACAAAACCCTTTAATTATTGTTGGGTCACAAGCACTGGAAGGGAATGGTACTGATATGCTACATTGTAAATTACAACAATTGGCTCAAATTATTCAAAATAAATTATCGGAACGCAAAATTGGTATATATTTATTTTTATACAGTCGACCTATTTATTATCTTCCAAAATGGATAAATAAACATGTTAGAAGGCTAATTTATACTAGAAAGTTTAAAAATTATGTAAATTGAGAACGAAAAAATTACCTTACTCCGACCGGGTTCGAACCTCCTCTTTCATAGTGGAGAACCGAGGTGGATACCGCTTAGCCATAAGCATTTTCGTTTATGAAAATTTTAATTTTTTGTACTTTTTAAATTTTAATTTATAAGATTCACCGCCGAAAATTCTAAATGTTTTGCATGGAAATGCTAGTCAAGTTGCTTCTTTTGATCTCGGTTATAAGCCCTTTAATCTTTTCGATTCAAAACTGAAGAAGTCAATAAAACTGCTTTATTTGTTCGGTGCAGATGACAAACAAATTTCTAAAAAAGATTTTCACGAAGACGTTTTTGTTATTTATCAAGGTATTTAGGCGATTTTGTTCTTTGAGGTTATTCACCATTTTTGCGTACTTTGAATGACCTACACTCTCCCAACCCGTCTTTTATTCATTTATTTCCTTTGAAAGAGTATTTTGTCATTACCATTTAAAGAGAAATTATTAGTGCTTACATTGGGGTTCTCTTTAATTGTTCTCTTCAGTAATTTGTCCGTAAAAATTGGCTTCGGCCAATAAGTTCGGGCTATATTTCTACTTATATTAAAATAAATATTTTAGGTCATCATGGTGATTCTGGAGCAGAAATTGCTGACATAATTTTGCCTGGAGCTGCATATACAGAAAAGGAGGCTACATGGGTAAATACTGAAGGACGACCTCAGCGAGGGTAATATTTTTTTATTTTCCTTCAAATTTCTCAATTTTTTGTAGTTATCCAGCTGTGACTCCACCTGGAGATGCTCGTGTCGATTGGAAGATTATTAGGGCATTAAGTGAAGTGGCTGGTAAAAAATTGCCTTACGATACAATTACTGAGATTCGACAACGTTTATCAGAGGTTTTTTAATTGTTTATTTTTGAATACTTTTAGGGCTATTTTAGGCGATTCAATATATTTTTCATTTATTTTTCAGTTTAATAAGATGAAATTTTTAAAATGTAACCTTCTAAATCTCTTTATAATTTTTCTAGGTAGCCCCACATTTGTCTCGCTATGGTCAAGTCGAAGACGCAAATTTCTTTCGACAGGCTTTTACTCTTTCAGTTTGTTTTTTCCTTGTCTTTTTTTAAATATTTTGCTTACCTTAAGAAAGAAGAAACGGCAAAGACAACCCATCCACCAAAAAGTTTGGAACCTAAGCAACAGTCTCTGCTTGATTTTTGGTTAACAAATTCAATTACTAGAGCATCTCCAACAATGGTCCAATGTGTAAAAGCATCTAAGGAATATGCTGTTCAGCCACATACAGACCCGCTAAGGCTTAAATGTCTTTCTGCATAGAAATTTTATAAAAAAAATTAGGGAAATAATTTGATTATTTGTAATAGTTTTCGTTGATTTTTGTGTAAATTGTATCTTATTATTATTTTGTTTAATTTTTTTTGTGTTACTGCACAGTTATACTTAATTGTTTATTGTTCATAGTTTTTTAAATCGAGTTTTTAGGATCTTTTCTTGTTAATTTCTTGTTGAACAACTACTATGAGTAAAAATACTGCTGCTGGAACAAAGACATCAAGGTTAAAATTATCTTCTTACTTTTTGAGTTACGTTTAAAAATATAACTTCTATGGTTTTTAGATACGCTCCAACAACTACAGAAGAATATCTCCCAATGGAAGTTCCCGATCATATTTACGTGGCTGGTGTGGAGCGTAAACCTGGTCAGAAGGATATTCGTCCTCAAATGGTCGTTCCCAGTAGAATAACAGTTGAAGGTGGTGATAAGACTGCAGCTGCCAAAGCACAACCGACAGAAGTGATTCGAGAACGTCAAGCTATGATGTCAAATGCCTCGGTTTTTATATCTATTTTATTCATATAAATTTTTTACATTTCCAGGAGGATCTTAGTGTCAATGGGATACCGCCTACCTTGACCGTAAGTATTTAAGAAAAGATATTTTTTATCCAAGAATAATTTCCCTTCTTTTAAAATTTAGGCCAACGAGCTGCCAACTGGTGATTTCCAACGAACACCTGTCAATATTGCATTAAGTTGTGATACAGACAATCCGGTAATTTATTATAACTTCTTCCTTTATTTAATTTTATTAATAGACATCAATTGCCGTTGAAAAGAATCCATTAGAAGAAATCAAACAATTGAGGCGTCGAATTAATATTCTAATTAGGAAGGTAGATGGTCTGGAAATGGATATTCGAGAATACAAATACGATCGACCATATATAATTGCAGCTGGATTCATTTTGACAGGACTTGTGGTTATTTTTATATTTTATTAAGATTTGCCAAGCACAATATTTTAAAACGCAAAAATTTATTTCAAAAGGCGGGGTTCGTTTCTTGCCCATCGCAGTTGGGACTAACTCAGATTAGGCTATGCCAGATCCTGATGAATTGAAGGATCTGAAAAAAAGACCCTGAAATCGAACTGAAATTTTTTGATATTCAGACGTTTTCGGACCCGGATATTTCCCCCTCTTAATTTTTACATTTTAAGGATTACATATAGGCCAAAAAAATAATTTTATTTTTATATCTATTCATTTTTTTCAAGACATATATGCTTCTTCGGTCTTCGAATGTTAGGAAATATTAAATATAAATAAAATGAAAACTCTGCTTTTGCAATATATTTTGCTTTTCTCAGCAGCTCTGTCTATTTTGGCCATAAAAACAATAAAAATTAAAAACATTAATTTTAATAAAAAGAATATTTTGTTTCAACTCCTCTAAATATTTTAAATTAACTTTATTTTACTTTAATTTTTGTCTTTTTACTACTATAATGTCATCCAAAGATGTTTTTAGGGTGGGGACTATTAGAGGGAGATAGACTTAATAGACTTTAATAATTAACTTAATAGACTTAAATTAATAGACTTTTAATTTCATAGACTTGACCCCCACCCTATTACAAATCTCCTATGAAATTAAGGAATCCAAATATGATAATTATTCGTATACCTGTTTTGTTGTATTGATAAACATTTGTTACAAATTATTCTAATTTTATTTTTAAGATTCGAAATAGGAAAAAAATTACATAAAAAGTATTGGAGATCAGAAGTGGCCGATCCTTTAAAAAAGCCAAATTTCGGGCTTTGAGCTTTCTATTGTTTTTGGTTGGTAATATAAAACAATAAAGGTTCAAGCCTATTATAATTTCAATTTTATTATTTGATTGGCTCCTTGTCTGATCTTTACATATATTCTATTTAAATTAACAATCATCTGTTTGTTCTTTCAATGAACTCTTTACAGAACCTTCTATCACTGCTGATTCGGCTAAGGCTGTATTTTGTTGTTGATAATAAGCATTAGCACCGTAAGGCTAAAATAAATATTAGTTTTTTAAGGATTTTAGTGAAAATATTTTAATTATCTAAATAGCTACGGGGTAATAAATTGGCCATTGTGAATTTGCAAACCAATCCATTCCTGTCAAGTGATTATTTCCTGCATTTGCATAATCGGTATATGCTCCATTTGTTCCTCCCCAAAACATTCCATTCATGCTTCCAGGCATTGTTGTTGAAAATGAGCGAGGGAAATGAGTGGCAAAGGATGCCATAGTAGAGGAATTTTGGGGATCAGATGTTAAGCCTGTTTAAATTATTCTGATGAATTTTAGTTTAATTGTCAGTTTTTCAGTGGCTAAATACGTTTTGCTTAAACATGATTTCTATTTTCAAGTTATAAAAAATTATTTCCACCAAGAGGATTCGAACCCGGCCATCCTCGGTGGCAAGTCTAGCACACTACCAACTAAACCACAAATAAACTTTTTCGACTTCCAAAAAACTAGATTTAAATCTTAAATTTTTACAAAAATCTGGAAGGCTTTGTTGAGATCTAGTAGTGAAATGATGAGGTGTTTGTTGATTTATTAAATTTGTTTCAGCTTCTAAATTCGTTTTGGTTTCAGTTTTTATTGGTTCTTTTTTAATAATTGTAGGTTCAGCTGGAGGAGGAGATTCTATTCTACCACTACTATTATTTTTATTTTCATTTTTTATATTTTGATTTGTTGAATAAATAAATGGAATTAAATTATTAATTTGGGGAGGTTGGGGATGTGGAGAAGTTATTGTTGAAGAAGTTGTTTGAGGAGGTATTGCGCTAGCCATTTTCATTATTGCTTCATGATTCTTTTTTAGTTGACGAAATTTTGCTCTTTAATTTTTTGTGTGGATTTACATATTTTAAATTTAAAAATAATTATTATTACCAACCTTCGATTCTTGAACCAAACCTTTGAAAATTAAAAATTGAGAAATTTAATTATTGTATAAAATTCCTAATAAGGTTGGCGACTCTTGTTAATATATGTAAATAGTTTGACCCTATAGAAACTGGTGAAATTTTGTTATTAATATTCTCTATTTTAAATAGAGGTTATCTAATATGTATTAGAGATATCTAAGAATATGGTCATCGAAATTATAAATTTTTAAATATATTTACCTGAATACGACTTTCCGGTAAATTAATTTTGGCAGCTAAATCTTCGCGTATTGCTACATCTGGATATTGCTAGAAAATTTGGTTAAAAAATAATTTAAAAAAGTTATTTTTTGTTAGTTTATATTTTTGGTATTTGTGGATTATTATTGCTTGTGATAGTCAGAAAGTTTCCAAATTCAAAAATTATTTAGTTACTAGATTAGAACAAGATAAAATAATTAATATATTTTTGGACATTGCAAGGACAACTAAGAATGGGCGTGTCGGAAAACTCTCATTATCAAATATATCCAATCTTTTTGTGTTAAACGTGATCAGTACCTTTTATTATCCTATACTTTAAGATTCTTAGAATTAATTTTGAGAGACGGCATAACTGAAAATTATCCAGGCTTGATATACTCCCTTTTAAGAGGCAACACAAATTTATGGTTCTCATTTTTGGTTTATTAATCACATCCCTTATTTACTTACTCCTAGCTGAAATTGTGCTTCAAGTATGTCCAATTGATTCTTGTTGTATGATGTTCTTTCACGTCTACCCTTTCGATTATATTCAAAATTTGCTAAAATAGGTCCACCTGCTGAAGTATTGGGAGTTCTTTAAATAAATATATTTAAAGAAAATTAAAAATTAAAAATGAATTTTAGTCAATGGACAGAAACATGCGAACGTTGCAGTTAATTGATAGAAATCTCGCTCACCATCTTCTCTTCACTCCTTTCTTTTAGATTTTAAACCCCTCTCAAAAGTTTTAAATGCTTGTCAGCTGTCTCTTATATACCTAAATGAGATAAATGGGAATCTAAGAAAATAAATATTCGAAGGTAGTGAGAATATTTTCTTTCAAACCAGGAGTGAACAAAAAAGGTGTAGGAAATCGGAAGACTAAAAATCGGAAGAAAAAATCCGTTCAATTTTTCTTTAAACACTATAGGAAAATAATCAAAAATATTTATCAAAATAATTTTTTTCAAAAATCTTTACCCAGAATTTCCACAAATATTATTCGCTCCATTAATTGAATTTGTTCCATTAATAACTGCGGCAAAAGCCGCAGCAGCAAAATTAATAGAATTATTATTTGAATAATTTTGATTATTAAATTGTTGATTTCCAAAAGAATATTGAGAAGTTGAAGAAGGAGAAGAGAAATAATTATTAAAAGGATTAGTAGAGGATGAGGAAGGTATGGAAGAAGAATAAAATGGAGGAAATGAAGAAGTTGATGGAATTGGGGAAGAATATAATAGGGAATTATTGGGGTTGTTATTTGGGGGTGAATTGAAATTGTTATTTTTGTTGGAATGATTTTCTGTGTCAACCATTTCTCTAAATTATTTAAGGATTTATTGAAAAAGAAATGATAATCAAATGGATATTTTAAAAATAAAAGGGTAGAGCTTAAGGGTAGAGCTTCTTTGATCACGATTCTTTAAACATTCTAATACAGACTTGGTAATGGACATGGATTTTGGTATCCGATCCAGATATCTACGACGGATACAGACGAATATCCGCAGGCAATTTGAACTTATCTGTATCCATATCCGTATCCATTGTTTTAATAATAACTCCCTATTCTTTAATAGGAAATTTAAAAATTATTTTTTAAGAGCTAGAAAATGTTTCAAAATAATTTTCCTTAATATGTATATTCCAATAAAGAATATAAAATTAAAAAATATTTATAGCTCACCTCCTTTTATTAACGCTTAATGTACTATTTCTGTATAAAACTCATCAAGATTTTGTAGCAAAAGTTAATGGGAAATCTCAGAAAATAGAGGCGGAGACTAGTTAATGAATAAATTATTAAATAAATACTTTAATTAAACAAAATTAAAATTTATTTTTTAAAAATCAGAAAAGATTATAAAAAAATATTACTAATTTTTAAATATTTTCCCTCTTCTCTTCTTTTTAACTAACAAAAAAGTTTATGAGCGATCAACTAAACATTTACTACAAACAAAAACGATGCGCGGATTAATTCAAAACAAAAATATATTTATTTCTATTAAAATAAAATAATCTACCTAACTACTCTTTTATAAGCGGATTGGCGCATTTTGTGAATGAAAATCGTAGAAAATTGGAAAAAAAATAAAATTGAGAAAATAAATAAAAATTGAGGTAGAAAATTAAAAAAAGAAAATATTTTTTATTTAAAAAGAGGGAAAAACTGGAAATTAAACAAAACATATTTAAATAAACAGACAAAATTTAGATAAAATTAAATCAAAAAATTTAAAATAGGGTAGACACTAACACAAAGTCATACCTCTATTTAAAATAAATTTATTTATAAGATACAATTTTTTAAGTCTTTAGTGGATACTTTAAAGTGAGGATTTACTAATAAATTAATAAGAAAAAAATTATTTAGAAAAAAATGAAAATAAAAGAAAAAATTGAATGGGCGGGATTAAGTTAAAAATAAGAGACTGTTGTTCCTTCCTTCCTTAAAATCTTCTTTTCTTCCATTCCTTTTTAAATAAACAAATATTTTTGTATTTTTATTGGCTGTTTATTTTGCCTTAAAATTTTTAAAAAAATTTGTGATAAAAATTATCTTAAGCAAAAAATTATCTTCAAACAAAAAAGTCAAAGATTTTTTGGGATTTTTGTTAATCTCTGCATATGTTTTGCTTTTAAGAAAAATTTATTTTAAATTTTTCTGTTCATTTTAGATGGTTTTTTTCATCCCAAACTGTTCGGCCCTTCCATCATTCCAACTAAACAATCATTTGTTGTTGTTGCTATTTACATAAGCAGAAGTTGCAAATTGACTTTTACTAAAATATCTTCGAACTGGCATAAAAATACACAATTTTTGATTATTTCCTTTTAAGGAAAAACTTTATTTTTTTTGGAAATATTTTAATTTTCTTTTACACAAAAAACTAAACAAAACTTTTTTTTTCATTAAATAATTATTTAAATATTTATTTCTTTTCAAGCAGTGAAGGAATTGACACCATTTTATATTTTTAATTGTTATTTCCTTTTTTTATTTGCCTCTGAGGGAAATTCCCAAGTCTGGATAAATTTAGAGGGATTATTGAAAGGGATTGATATTATATTGGTATTGTTTTTTAAATTAAAAGAATAATAATTATTTAAATTCTTCAATTCTTTCTTACAAAGTCTTGTTAAATTTCAAAAAACACCTCCTTTCAGTCCATTCAAGTTAATTTTTGAATTATAACAGTTTTTAATTTTAACAAATAAATTAGAGTTGTTCTCGACCGGTTTTAAAACAGAAAATTTTGATTTTTTTTGCCAAAAATTAACCGTTTTTGCAAAATTTAAATTACCGAAAATTTTTAAATTGAGTGATTTTATTAAAAATTCCCCCAAAATAAAACCGGTATTTGTCTAAAACTTAAAACCAAAAACGGGTTTTTAAAATTTGGATTAACCGAAAACCGGAGGTACCGGTTAATAACTGGTAGTGAAAAAATAAAAGTTACGTTTTTAATTAAATTTATGTTTTTAAGAATACATCAAAATTATTTCTATATTTTATATTTTGTTAATTAGAATCAAATAATATACCTAAGAGACATTTCTCTCAATTTTAACTGTAATACTTATAAAAATTAATTTCAAAAATCTTTCCAATTAATTTATCAAAAATTACTGTAAATAATTAAAAACCGTTCAAATTTCGTTTTTTCTTTGCTTTTCAAAAAATAATTTTAGTTTTTCTTTTTTTTAATAATTGAGGGCAGATGCGAATAGAAGGAAAAGAAGAAAATAAAAGGAAAGAGAAGAGAGAGAGATTATGGTATTTTTAAATAAAAAAAGGAGAAGAAGGAAGATCATTAAATCCTTTAATTCACGGCTTTCTAAAAACTAGAAAAAAAACTCAAAATTTATTAAAAACCAAAAACAATTTGTTTTTATATGCCAATCAAATTATTTTCTAATTAATTAGTTTGAATAAAAAATAGTAGAGATTTAAATTAAAAAAATTTTTTTTTATAAATAATTTCTATTATTATTTTTATTTAATTTTACAATAACAAAATTACTTGTCAAAATTTTACAGTTTCAAGGTTGGCTCTTGGTATTCTTAATAAAAAATAAAGCTACGTATGTTATTGGAAGTGAAATATGAAAAAGGATATCTGATACTTGCCTATATTTATGATAAAGTTCTCAAATATAGTTTTAAAAAATCAGTTGATCACTTAGTTGGATTGGATCATGAGGGATTCAACTAATCATTTGATATCTCGAAGGAAATTAAGGGAAAGGAAAAAGCAGAATGAAGAAAAATGCCTTATGCAGAAGGCCTTTGGAGACTTCATTTGCGTAAGGTAGAAAGCGAGCTGGACATTTTCACCCAAAACAATCAAAAAGTATCAAAATGATTGATGGACAGGCATAAAAAAAAAGAAAATACAAATTGTTTTATTTAAATATAGACAGGTGTGAAGGAGAATATTTTAAAGAGGTACATTGCTATAGGCAAGTAGCGGTCTGTTACATATCTTGTCCTTTGGCGGCTTTTTGAAAAAATATTTTAAATTTTATTTTGTTGAAATATAAAAATAATTTAAAAGTAAAAAGAGAAGAAACGGACATTTACTTACGGAAAAAACGAAATTTAAAGAAAAAAGCTTTAAAATTCCTGTGATCTTTCCTATCGATATGATGAAGAATGGCAAAAGAATCTACATAATTTTCAACCTACCCCATCATCAAGATCTGGATATCCAAAATAAATCTGGGCAAACAATTTACAAAAAATCAAGACCGACTAAAATACAATCATTTTTCAAAGCTCATTCGCCCCTTCATTGATCACCCTTACTACCCTACACCTTCATACCCCCCCCCCTCCCCACACACACCTGTTGCAAATCCATGTTGCATAATAGCACTTTTGTAAAGCGGCAACCCCTTTCTTCATTCCTTTTTTAGTCAAGAGCCTTTTACTTACTTTTTATTCCACGCCCACTTCATTTTTTAAGTCCATTACGCTCTATTAAACAAATAAAAAAGAAACGGTAAATATACTTTTTAAAATCTGCGCGGAATGAAAAAAATGAAAAAATGCTTAAGGGGTTTTAAAGAATGGGAAGGTAAACAAAAAAAGAAGAGAAAAGGAAAGGCGGCATTTTTCACACTTTATAGTGAATATTTTATGAAAAAAAGAAAGGCAAAATCAACAAGTTAGAATCGAAAATTTGTTTATTTTTGTAAGATTATAAATAAATATTAAATTTTCAAAAAATAATAGTTTTATTCAATTTAAAAGAGCAGCACTAGGATTGACGCTTTAAACAAACAGAGACAAGAAATCGGAGATTTTCGGTTGATGCAAACGACAGTCCTAATCAGGGATGGGAAGTGTGAGAAAAAAGTCGGTTCTGGTTTCGTGTTCGATTTCCAGAATTTTTTTCGGATTGGGTTTCGGGTGGTGGATTAGGAAGGTAAAAAGTTCCATGCCACTAGTATATAATCAAAGCAAAATATATTTCAGACGAAGACTCAAGAAAATTTTATTTGTATTTAACCATGAATTACTTATTTACTTTCTATGTAGGTACACCTCCAAAATAGGGATGAGCGTATAGGATCCAGATGAAAAAAAAATCCAAATTCGGTATCATGATTGAAAATTATCAGGATTTCCGAAACCAATAATAACTAGGTTTTAGATACTAGTAAAAAATTAAAGGTCCTAAATCTACGTGTTAAAAAAGCTTGTAAACTTGACAATGATAACATTTTAAAATCTAATTTTTACATATTTTTGTTATTTATTTTTAACTTCCAGGAAGTGCCATTCTAATAAATAATAGAATAAATACTGTATTTGTTTTTTGTGCCGGAAAGAAAAAATAAGTAAATAACAGAAAAATTATTCTCCAAAAAACAGAAATGCAAACGAATATTTAAATATTTTTCAGGATTAGCATTTCCTCTGAATCGAGAAAGAAAAAACGGAACTGAGTAGTGATTGCGAAATAAATAGACTGTTTACTAATTCTCTCTTTTTTGAGAAAAAAAGTTATTCAAAAATCAAAATATTTAACTATTTTTTTCGAAAAAATCATTTAAATTTTTCGATCTTTTGAAATAAAGACAGATCTTTAGTGGTGAAAAATTCTATATAATATTTTTATCTTAAACAGAGGTTAATCTGTCGAGTGTCATCGACTTTGATGGGCTATAACTTTATATTTTTCTATCCTTCAAACTCCCCTGAAAAGCAAAATAATCTTTTTCAAACTTGACAGAACAGGTATGTCTGACCAATCCTTAAAGTGAGAACACGATAAATGTGAGAAACAGAAGTGATTTGAATAATATAAGTTTTTTTTTCGAATTGGACGCGGCTAAAATGATAAAGTAATTGGTAACGGTAAATCAAATTTACTCAACTTGTCAACACACGACTGACCCCAGCCCCAAATTTTCTCGTCGATTTCTAAATGATAAATACCAAAAAAGTATCCTGATATAAATCAACACTTAACTATTTAATATTTTCCAATCGAGAGAACAAAATATTAGTTATTGCAATAACAGGATGCAACCAAGAGGAAAACAAATTTGAAGAAAATTTTGTATATTTAAATAAGACAAGAAAACATTACATAATCTTAGGGAATAGGGTCAATTTAATGTTTTGGCAAGAGAAGTAAATAAATAAAAATTAAATAGAAAATTTGGAAAAAATGATTTGAGTGTTATAAAATAAATAAATTTAAAATTTTCA